AACAATATTGGAAAATTGATTGTGGTGATGGTTGCACAACTCTGTGACTATAATAAAAACCATTAAATTGCACACTTTGAATGAGTGAATTGTGTGTTAATTAAATCTCAATAAAGCTGTTAAGGAAAAAAAAAAAGATTTAGGCAGCTTAATTCAGAGACAGAGAAAGGTGAGAGAGGACAGGTTTTTAAAGAGTTTGTTAGAGCAGGCTCAGGCTGAGTTCACAAGGCTGTTTTCTTTTAAAAATATCTTTAATGTTTTTCATAAGGCATAATTGATGTAAAAAAAAAAATCAAACAGTACAGAAAGTTTAAAAACTGGTGATTTAGGCGGGGCAAAGTGGCTAATGCCTGTAATGCCAGCACTTTGGGAGGCCAAGGCGGCTGGATCACTTGAAGTCAGGAGTTCGAGACCAGCCTGACCAACATGGTAAAACCCCATTTCTACGAAAAACATAAAAATTAGCCAGGCATGGTAGCGTGTGCCCGTGGTTCCAGCCACTCAGGAGGCTGAGGCAGGAGGATTACTTACTTGGTCCTGGGAGACAGAGGTTGCAGTGAACCGAGATTGTGCCACTGCACTCCAGCCTAGGCGACAGAGAAAGACCCTGTCTCAAAAAATCCCCAATAACCTCCCCCCCCCAAAAAAAACCCCACAAACAACAACAATAACAACAACAAAAGACTGATCTAAAAATTATAGGTCAGGCCAGGCATTGTAGCTCGCGTCTGTAATTCCAGCACTTCAGGAGGCCGAGGTGGGAGGACTGTTTTAGCAAAGGAGTTCAAGACCAGCCTGGGCAATATAATGGGACCATGTCTTTACAAAAAATAAGAAAATTAGTTGGGTATGGTGGTACACACTTGTTGTCCCAGCTACTTGGTGAGCTGTGATCGTGCCACTGCGCTCCAACTTGGAGGACGGAGAGAGCGAGAACTTGTCTCTCAAAAAGAAAAAAAAAAAAAAGCAAACTCTAGATTGGGCACAGTGGTTCATACCATAGTTCCAGTGCTTTGAAAAGCTGAGATGGGAGGATCGCTTAAGGCCAAAAGTTAGACTAGCCTGGGAAACAGCAAGACCCCATCTCTCTCTCTCTATCTTTTTTTTTTTTTTTTGAGACAGTCTCGCTATGTCTCCAGGATGGAGAGAAGTGGCCCAATCCCGGCTCACTGCAACCTCTGCCCCCTGGGTTCAAGCGATTCTCCTGCCTCAGCCACCAGGCATGCGCTACCACGCCCAGCTAATTTTTGTATTTTTAGTAGAGAAGGGGTTTTGCCATGTTGATCAGGATGGTCTCAATCTCTTGACCTCGTGCTCCACCGCCTCAGCCTCCCAAAGTGCTGGGATTACAGGCGTGAGCCACCATACCTGCCCGAGACCTCATCTCTACAAAAAAATTGTAAAAATTAGCCAGGCAAGGTGGTGCATGTTTGTGGTTGCAGCTGCTAGGGAGCTTGACGTGGGAGGATTGCTTGAGTCCAGGAATTTCAAATTAGAGTAATCTATGATTGTGCCACTGCATTCCAGTGAGACAAAGCAAGACCCTATCTCTGAAAAAAAGAAAGAAACTAATTAACTTTGTTGTACAAAACATTTTGTGCAAATCACCACGCAGTTCCTTAGGAGACAGAATTCCTTAAACAAAGTGTAGGCCTAGGTACCTGGAACAAAAGGTAGGTCTAGAAACAGAATTCCTAGAAACAGAATTCCTGGGACAAAAGGTAGTCCTTCTTGAGGCATCCTGTCAAAACACTGTCCAGGAAAGCACTGGTCTGTTTCACTTTATAAGGCTGCTTAAAACAGCTCTCAATCTAGGCTGATGATGTAAATCAGATCAAGACGTGTAAAGGCAACTCTACTGGGGCCAATACGATGTGGTTCAGGGATCCAGCTCTCTACCGCTTTCTCTTTTTAGACACAGCGACAGTTCTAGGGTCCCTGGAGGTTGGATGGGCTGTATACTCCCGGAAAGCTTCCTAGATACGGCTGTTTCAGCTGAGCCCTTGCTGTGCATTGGACAGAGGCTTGAGAAGGAATGGCTGGGGAGCCCAAGGGATGTCTTTGCAAAGAAACCTAGACCTGGGGTGGAAGTTTTCCTTTGGGATGAGCCGGGCAAACAGTGACTCTTGGTGGGCAGCTGAGGGCAGAGCCTTGGGCCTATAGCCAAGCTGGGGGCAGAACTGGCTTTGCCTTATGAGAGGCAGAGGGCCCTGACCAGCCACTGAGCCTGGACGTGAAAGCCGAGCTGCTTGACAGGAACAAATCTGGAGTCTGCTCCTGTGCACAGAGGTGAGGTTTTGAAACAGCCAAAGTGGAGCCTCCAGGGCTGGGTTTTAGCCAAAGGACGGCCCTGTGTTCTGATGTCTTCTGGAGAAGGCGTGCAAAGCTCCTATCCTAGAGCAAGGCTGCAGCCACTTAAACTGGAAAAACAAAAGCAGCTTTCCCAAACACCTACCTCAGCCATTTAAAACAACAACAACAACAACAACAAAGAAACCAAATCATAAATCATAGATAAGAACCTTTAGCCTGGAGCAATTAACTTTCTGATGAGGATGCCAAGACAAACTAATTACGTAACGCCTGGTGGCTGTGGCTCACACCTGTAATCCCAGCACTTTGGGAGGTTAAGGCAGGCGGATCACAAGGTCGGGAGTTCGAGACCAGCCTGGCCAACATAGGGAAACCCCATCTCTACTAAAAATACAAAAATTAGCCCGGCATCGTGGTGCGCATCTGTAATCCCAGCTATTCAGGAGGCTGAGGCAGGAGAATTGCTTGAACCCAAGAGGCGGAGGTTGCAGTGAGCCAAGATCGCACCATTGCACTCCAGCCTGGGTGACAAGAGCAAGACTCCATCTTAAAACAAAAACAAAACCAAAAAACTAAAAACTAGTTACTTAACACAAACCTAGTAAGGGAATGAAGATATATGCTGTATGAATTTGTTAACTGTAAGTTGGGCAAAAGTCTGTAGGTATCTACAAAGTGTGAAGTTTGATGTAAAGATCATTGAACTGGGCAACATAGTGAGACCCCTGTCTCTATAAAAAAAATAAATTAGCTGGGCTGCTGGCACACACCTGTAATCCCAGTTACTCAGGAGGCTCAAACAGGAGAGTTACTTGAATCCAGGAGGTGGAGGTTGCAGTGAGCCGGGATTGTGCTACTGCACTCCAGCCTGGGCGATGGAACGACTCCATCTCAAAAAAAAAAAAAGATTAAACTATAGCCCTGTGCTATGTTATGTGTGTGGCATAATTCAGGACTCAGGAGCTAGGCTAGATTGCCTTCAGTTTGTGATGACAGAGTCATGCTATCTTCCTGTTTTCCATAGTGGGGCTAAAATTCAGCTCATCCCTGAACAGTTTTCACTAATTGAGATATACATGAAAAAGATCAAAGGGCTACCCTTCTAAATGTTTCCTCCCTTGGAAACTGTTACATGGTCTGCAAAGAGGCCATTGCTACTGATTCCACTTACTGCCCTGGGTGTCGGAGGAGAGGCTCCATCCACGTGAGTGGCCTGCATGGAAGCCCCTGCAGCTTAACTAGAGTGCAAAGTCACCGAATCAGAGGTAAGGGAAGAAAGGCCAAGTGCAGTGCAACGTCTTGTCCCCCCCATTCCAGGTGAATGTCTGGGCTATGTGTATATTTCTAATGCTGGTGGGCCAGGGTGGTATACCAACCTATACACCAGAGACATCAAACGTTGCCCTTTGAAGGCTGTGAATCGACTTGGGCCAGCTAGTGATTCAGGGATGGGAAGAAAGAGAAACAATGGAAGTTGTAGGGGGTGGAGAGGCAGGTCTCTGATCATTTTAGGGAAACTGGATCACAGTGCAAGCTAAGCTGCTCAAAGCTCGCAGGAGGGATCAGGGAAGAGTCTAGAAGTTGTAGAGCAGGGTACTGAGTAGAGCCAAGTGCTAGGGAGAGGACGCCAGCTAGTTGAGGGCTGGTGCTTGCTCCAGGCTCAGAGGAGAGAGGTCTGGGAACGGGAGAATGCGGAAGCTGGCTAGGCAGGAAGTGGACACGGAGTAACAGCCTGTCACAGCTAGATGAATGGGACACACTGGACCAAACCGGGGAAGGTACTAAATCTGGGCTATGGGTTTGAACTGTGCAGGTCAAAATTTAAAAAAAACCAAAACATTAGGTCTGGGCTGGCATCTCCCCTGCCTGGACCCTAGGGTTTTCTGGAGACTCCTTCAGGAGGATTTAGGGGTTTTACATGAAGCAATACCCCAGAGGCCTGAGAAGGAATGTCTGGGGAGCTCAGAGCCTGTCTTTGAAAAGAAACCTAGAGGCTGGGTGCGGTGGCTCATGCCTGTGATCCCAGCACTTTGGGAGGCCAAGGTGGGTGGATAACCTGAGGTTGGGAGTTCGAGACCAACCTGACCAACGACCAACCTGACCAACACGGAGAAACTTCATCTTTATTAAAAATAAATAAATAAATACAAAGAAAAGAAAAGGAACCTAGAAGGCCAGTTGTGGTGGCTCATGCCTGTAATCCCAGCACTTCGGGATTACAGGCTGAGGCGGGCGGATCACCTGAGGTTGGGAGTTTGAGACCAGCCTGACCAACATGGAGAAACCCCGTCTCTACTAAAAATACAAAATTAGCTGGGCGTGGTGGTGCATGCCTGTAATCCCAGCTACTCGGGAACCTGAGGCAGGAGAATCACTTTAACCCGGGAGGCAGAGGTTGCGGTGAGCTGAGATCATGCCATTGCACTCCAACCTGGGCAACACGAGTGAAACTCCATCTTAAAAAAAAAAAGAAAGAAAGAAAGAAAAAGAAAGAAAGAAACCTAGAAATCCCACTGTCCCTCACTGGCTGGGGCACCATAGATTCCAGAGCAGAGAGGTGGCAAAGGGACAGGGAACATGTACAGGGAGGATGAAGGTAAGAGTGTGCGCCCCAGGTAGTAGACATGAGTACCACCTGGCAGGGCTGTGGGGTCCTATTCTCAGCTCCAGGGCATGACTGTCAGCCACTCTGGGTCCACAGAATCAGGGTCAGGTCACCTTTGGGGTAACTGGGGTGGAGGCAGGACCCCCCTCCTGTTGCCAGGTCAGAGCTGTCCTGAGGCTGAGGACTCAAGGTCAGCAAGGCAGGCAGGGAGCATGGGTACCAAGGACTTCAAATCTGTGACTCAGCAGCTGCCTCCCAGCCTGGAAAGAGGAACTCACAGGGCCTGCCATGCCTGGTCCAAGGTGGGGGAGGGAGGCAGGCCGAGAGACGGAGTGCCAATGTTTAATAATTCATGGCTTTTTCTATTTTCACAGGTGCTCGTGGCAGTGAGCAGAGGGAACAGTGAGAATTTAGGACCTTGCTTGTCCCCACGGCTGCCTTCCGCCAGGACAGAGCACCAAAGTCAAACAGGATCTCTTCAGTCAAGCTTCTGGAAAGTGGAGTCAGGGCCTGTCCTTGGGGCAGGAGGAAACAGATGGGAGGGGAGACCAGGTGGCTGGCTGAGAAAGCCATTTCTGGGGCACTCACAGGCAACCAGGGAGCAGCTGTGTGGAAGAGAATTTGGGGGTTGGGAGATGCAACAGGCTCCTGACACCCAATATGGCTGGCCTTTGGCCCTGGCTCTGTTCCACCATCCAGCTCTCCACGCCCAGCCCCTGGGGCACAGAGCGGGCAGGGCCCATGGGAATGCCTCAGTACCCGTGTCTGATGCTTCCTTCAGCCCCTTACTCCTTACTTTCCAGCCTTCTCACGTCGCTTCATGACTTGGTTACCAGCATCCCTTCCTCTGACTCCTCCTTCCCTCCCTCTCCTGGGGTCTCCAGCTCAAAAGGGCCTTGGCATACACCTTTCTGAGTCTCTGCTGTCCCTGTAGCTGGGCCTACAGCTGCAGAACCCTTCATACTCTAACACCATTGTGAGTTTGATCCTATTTCTGTCTCCTCTAATGGAACGTGGAGTCCTCTGAGGGCAGAGACTGTGTCCTCAGGCTCAGCACAGCATCTGGCCTGCAGCAAACAAACATCCAGCTTTTGGTGGGAAGCTCCAGTTTCTTCTGAGACTGTCCCATTTCTGCTTTTCCTCCTGGTTCCTGGCCTTTGGCTGCCACTGGGGCTGCCAGGCCAGGCCAACAGCTGCAGACCAGCAGGGCCAGAGAAGCGGGGTCTGCAGGGCCCATCCCTCCCCCAGCACAGGTGGAGTCTCAGATACCTTTTTCTCTCAAGAAGCTGCACATCTCTGCACATCTCCCACCCCTACGGCCTGGCTCCTTTTCCATATCTGAGCCAGGAACAGTGCCAAAGGCTTCATTGGGGTGCAGGAATTGAGACAGCAACAATATTTAGCATCAACCTCCCTGAAAACCGTCTTCTCAATAACTCAGCTTCCAATCTTTCCTTCCAAGCCTGCCTCTTCCAGGAAGCCCTCACCACTGCCCATAATACTGCGCCACCCGCCAGGTGCGGGGGCTCACGCTTGTAATTCCAGCGCTTTGGTATGCCAAGGCAAGCAGATCATTTGAGGTCAGGAGTTTGAGACCAGCCCTGTCAACATGGTGAAACCCTGTCTCTACTAAAAATACAAAAATTAGCTGGGCATGGTGACATGTCCCTTTAGTCCCAGCTACTCAGGAGACTGAAGCAGGAGAATCGCTTGAACCCAGGAGGTGGAGGTTGCAGTGAGCCGAGATTGTACCCTTACATTCCAGCCTGGGTGACAGTGCGAGACTCTGTCTCAAAACAAAAACAAAAACAAAAAAATACTGTGCCACCTGCAGTTAGTTACAAGCCTGCCTCCTTCACCTGCCAGGGCATACTTTCAGGGTCAGGGCTGTGACTATTCCCAGCTCCCAGTGTGGTGCCTGGTACTTAAGGGGTGCGTAATAGGTTTTCCTGGAAAAATTTAGTGCCCAGGATGGGAGCAGGCATTGTCACAATGTGTGTGTGTGTGTGTGTGTGTGCGTGTGTGTGTGTGTGTGTGTGTGTGTGTTTGAGGGGGGCTGTATCTCATTCCAGGCAAAGGAGGCTGAGGCTAGAGTCCAGGGCACAGACCATCACAGGGTCTAGCCCAGCATCCCCAGTCCCACCCTGGCCCCCCGGAGGCTATGATTAACCCTGGTCCTGAGCACAAGGACAGAGCCTCATCTGCCAGTCAATCTCGGCCATGTGGGGAAGTAGGTCAGGGGCTGCAGGATCTGGGTAGCTGCTGCACATGAGGGCAAAGTCAGCCCTCTGGGGCCTTGTGGATGGAGACCAGGCTGTGGGCATACCACAGTAGGGCACGATTGCACAGACTGCAGCAGACCTGTGTCCACACACCCCTAGCTTGCTGGAGACTGTGGGAATGTCACTTCTCCCTGGACATGTTTCCTCCCAACTTCCAGCTCTCACCATCCAAGAACGAGGCATCTTGGGGGAGGAGAGGGTAGCCCCGAACTCCACTCCAGCAGGCCTTCTCCTCCTTCCTGTCCTAACAGCCCCACCCCCACTCCCAATGATGTCACTTCGGCCACCTCATCACCAGCTTCTAACCCCCTTGCAGTCGCCCATTAGGCCCTCAGATGGCAGCTGTAGGCAGCGGAAATGGATCCCTCTTTACTCTGTCTCTCATCTGGCACACTGGCCGGAATTCCCGAACTTTGACCCCCTCCAAACCAGGAGCCATTTGCAAGGGGACCGGGCAGGGGAGGGCTAGGCGACTCCCGACTCTCGAAGGCAGATGGGAGACTCGACTTTCTGCTTCTTCACCGGCAAGGACCCGGCACCACTTCTCCCTGAGTAGGAAGCAAGTTAGGGAAACTTTCTGGGAGTCTTAGAGCTTATAAATCCTGGCAGGGAAGGGTGCTGCTGGCTTTGGTGTGAGATAACTTCCCTCTACACGCGCGCCACCCTCCCAGCAAAACATGACGAAGGAGCCGCCTCCCGTACTCCAAAGACTCCCAGCCAGTGCTCAGGCCCGTTAACAATACCAGAGGCGGCTGGGCAGTTGCTGCCTCCAGGACCGGGTGGGCGAGCTGGATGACGGATGCCCTGTCGCCTGGGAAAATAGGAAGAGTGCCCCCTGCCCCCCACTTTTGCAGGTCTCCACCCGTCCGGTCCGTGTCTTCTCGGGCAGCGCCCCCTCTCTCCACGTCCGGGTTCTCCAGACATGTCGCTCCTCCAAGTCGGGCGCGCCGGGTCCAGCCCAGCCCCTCCCGGGGTGATAGCGCCCAACAATGGAGAAGCGGACAGGGGTCACCGGGCGCTCCCCGCCTTCCTGCCCCCGGAACCCCCGCGCTCACCCTGCTCCAGGTCCTGCTGGTCGTACCAGGGCTCCTCTTCCTCCGCGGAGAAGTCTTCCATCCCAGCGGCTCTCCGCATGGCCCGGCAGGCGGCTGGCGGGTGCTGCGGCAGCGCGGCTCAGGGCCGGGTCGCGCGGCCCGGGACAATGCGGCGGAGGCGGACCGGGCCTCCCGCGTAGGGGACTCGGGCTACAGCGCCCGCGCCGCGCCCCCTCGCCATCGGCCGCCCGCCGGGCGCCCACGCGGGGCCTGGCGCGTTGCCGCGGTCCGGCCCGGCCGGGATCCAGCGGAGCCGGGGGCGCCGGGCGGGCGGCGGCGACACAAAGGGTGGAGGGGCGGGGACAGCGGGTGGGACGGTGGCAGGGAGGATCCGGGCCCGCAGGCGGGTCTGGGGCGTTAGGAGCGCCCGGGTGCCGCGGGGGGCGCCCCCTGTCCAGCTTGGGTCCGCGCTGCCCCTGGTCCGCCGGGCGACACCCGGAGCCGCCGCTGCATCTCGGTGGAGCCCGCCTGCAGCTTGCGGAGCCCCGCTCCGCGAGGTGGGGCCGGCCGCCGCCGACCAATCAGGAGGCGCATGCAAAGATGGAGGCGGGGCCGAGGGCGGGACCCTCTTGCGTCCCGGTCTGGGAATTGCAAGATCAACCCTTTCGTCCTCCCGCCGCGACCGATTCAGTTTACTTCTCTTGTCTGAAATTATGTTATTTTAGAAGTTGTCGTCTCCTAGATATTGTCTCTTTTTCACAGCTGGCTACTCAGCTCCTAGAGCAGGCTGCTCACCAGTCGGGTGCGGTGCCTCACTCCTGTAATCCCAGCACTTTGGGAGGCCGAGGTGGGCAGATCGCCCGAGGTCAGGGGTTCGAGACCAGCGGGGCCAACACGGTGAAACCCCGTCTCCACTAAAAATACAAAAGTTAGCCGGGAATGGTGGCTCATGCCTATATTCCCTGGTACTCGGGAGGCTGAGGCAGGAGAATCACTTGAACCCTGGAGGAGGAGGTTGCAGTAAGCCAAGATCACGCCACTGCACTCCAGCCTGGGGAACAGAGGGAGACTCCGTCTCAAACAAACAAAACAAACAACAGGCCGGTCATTGATACATTGCATCGTCATTGTTTGAATGAATAAAAATTTACAGTTGCCTTTGGGAACTTGAGCGTTTAAGTGCCTGTGACTGGAAACTACAGGCCTACAGTGGCCAAGTTTAAGGGTATTTTACCTGCATTCAAGGTTCTGTTTTCTTTTCCTTGGGACCCATATCCTATATCCAATTATATCCGTTAAAACCATACATATTTGCGTCTGTCCAAGCATTCTTTCCTTAGAGGAGTTTCCAGACTCAAGCATTCATGTAACTCATTTTTATTGGGACTCATAATGTGCTGGTGCTGTTGAATATCTCTGAATAATGTTGTAATATAGACAACAAACAACTTGTATCCATAATATAGAAAGAGCATCTACATAGTCATACCCAACCCAGTAGAAAAGTGGGCAAAAGATTTGATCAGACAATTCACCAAAGAGGATATGTAAATAACCCAATAAACATGCAACAAGGTAATCGACTTCTTTGGCCGTCAGAAAAATGCAAATTAAAACCACAATGAGGTACCACTAACCAATCACCAGAGAGTTTTTAGCGGAAAAAAAAAAGGTCGGCCACAATGGCTCACGTCTGTAATCCCAGTACTTCGGGAGGCTCAGGTGGGTGGGTCACGAGGTCAGCAGTTCAAGACCAGACTGCCCACATGGTGAAACTCCGTCTCTAAAAAAAAATTTAAAAAATAAAAAAAGAAAAAGAAAAGAAAACACAGGCCAGGCTTGGTGGTTCATGCCTGTAATCTCAGCACTTTGTAGGGGTGTAGGGTGGGAGGATCACTTGAGTCTGGAGTTCAAGACTAGCCCGGGCAGCATAACAAGACCGTATCTCTACAAAATATTAAAAAATAAAAATTAGGTGAGCATGGTGACAACTTCTGTAGTCCTAGCTACTTTGGGTGACTGAAGTGGGAGAATCACTTGAGCCTAGGAGGCTGAGGTTGCAGGGAGCCATGATCATGCCATTGCACTCCAGCCTGGGTGACAGAACAGGACCCTGTCTCCAAACAAAACAAAACAAAAAAAAAACACCTAATGTTGGCAAGAACGTTGAGCAACTGGAACTCTCTCACCCAGTAGAAAAGTGGGTAAAAGATTTGATCAGGTACTTGACCAAAGAGGATATACAAAATAACACTGCTGGAGGGAGTACATAAGAGGACAACCACTTTAGAAAACTGCTTGACATAGCCAGGTGTGGCGGCTCACACCTATAATCCTAGCGTTTTGGGGGGCTGAGGTGGGTGGATCACTTGAGGTCAGGAGTTCAAGATCATCCTGGCCAACATGGTGAAACCCTGTCTCTACTAAAAATATAAAATTAGCTGGGTGTGATGGCACATACCTGTAGTCCGAGCTACTTGGGAGGCTGAGGCAGGAGAATCGCTTGAACCTAGAAGGAGGAAGTTGCAATGAGCTGAGATTGTGCCACTACACTCCAACCTGGGCGACAGAGCGAGATTCCATGGAGGCGGGCTGGGGGGTGGGGGAAGGGTGGAGAAAGAAAGAAAAAAAAACTGCTTAATAACCATGAAAGCTGAATAATGTAGGCTGTTGTAGATTGTTTTCCTAGGCAGCTGATCCTGAGATGGAGATTAGCACGCAGGAAGTTGATTAGTGTTATCAATCATGCTGGATTAGAGAAAAAAAAGAGGAATTTGACTAGGAAGTGCTCTCAGGATCAACACCTGCAGGAAAGGGAGGGACGCAGGGTTGGGGGAGGGAGAACTGGGTTGGGATGTAGCCTCTGCAAAAGCCTCCTCTGATCCCTGAAGAACTTTGAATCTGGGGTGACCCTTCAAAGCTATTGCAAGTATCAGTGTGTGTGTGGGGGGCTTTATATCTCCCACCCTTACATATCAACCAGTCATTGAATGACACAGGTCGTCCCTAGGAGGCATGTGTGACCTTGGCCAAAGAAATGTTTTTTCAGATGAGGCTAGTTTGCACAGAGGCCTGGCAGTGGGACTGCCAGCGAGGGGTCCTCCCAGCAGCCGAGGAAATAGGTCCTTTCGTTCTGAAACAGTCGGGGATGCATGACAGGCTGCCAGTGAGCATATCCCATAATCCAGCAATTCTATTCCTATATATGTGCAACAGAAA